TTCAAGAGGCAGATTGAGCTGGAAGATTTCATATTCATAATGACCAAAAGCTTTAGGCCCAAATACAACTTGGGAAACTTAATCAACATCATGTGAGGGTGACCCCATTCGAGCCCCATCCCTCCCCCACTCGAGGGCGCCATGGGACTATAGTGGCTGCTACGCAAAAGCTAGATCACCTGGAGCCACTATAATAAGGGTACCCTCTTTCCTGGTATTCAGTTTTAACTAACAATTAAGTAACAAGGCAGCCCCAAAAGTAAAAGGGCAAAAGGGTATTGCTACTGAGGAACCTAGAATAGATTCGTCAAAGTTTGCTCGACCGCTGCGATGTCCACCATGCGGTGCAAAGCTCCGAATCTTGGAGTGGGGCCTTCGCTCCACCAAGTCCTGCGCCAGGGAGTGGCGCTGCCTTCTAGCAACTCCGCGGCGAGCCTGATACATCTTCAAGCTTTCACCGGAATTCTAACCTTCAACCCTAAACCCTAAACCCTAAAGTGAAGAGAGCAGTGTCTATCTCCTTTCCGCCACTGGTGATCATGTCGCCAAATGCCCCTTCGTTCTCACAGCTGTCGTGAAGCATCCCCAAAGAGCTCGATACCCCTTAGGGTTTAGGGTTTAGGAGATTAGGGTTTAGGGTTTAGGGGGCTTCATATTGTGATTTATAAAGGTATATCCCTTAATTAAGGGGTATTGGGCTCTCTGACTTTCCCAGCCCTAAACCCTATAAACCCTATAAGCCCTACACCCCCCAAAACCCCTAAATCCTATACACCCTAAACCCCTAAATCCTAAACCCTATAAATCCTAAACCCTAAACCCTATAAATCCTAAACCCTAAACCCTATAAACCCTAAACCCTATAAATCCTAAACCCTTAACCTCCAGAGTTGGGCTCTCTGACTTGTTCTTCACTCTCTCCTGGATGGAGCGCTCGTCGCGCCGCAGGATGATTTGGCTCTGCCGCGCAAGGCGAGGACGACGCGGAGGGTTTAGGGGTTTAGGGGTTTAGGGGTTTAGGGTTTTAGGGTTTAGGGGTTCAGGGGTTTTAGGGTTTGGGTAGAGGGTTTAGGGGTTTAGGGTTTAGGGTTTAGGGTTGGGAAAGCGGGGCCCACTCCCCACTCAGTCTTCTTCTGGCCACAGCTTCAAGCTCTGCTGCACAAGCGGACGCACTAACGGCGTCGGGCGATGAACCCAAGCATCTGTCTGGACAGTCTTGAGTGTACTTAAAGGCTCATGGGACTTAGTAAGGAAGGGCATAAGTAAGGTTATAGGTAGGATCATAATTAGGATGCCCCACTTACAACACTTACAACCCCAAATGCAACCTTACTTACTAAGTCCCTTGCGCCCTGAAGCGACTGTAGACGTCAAGCCCATCACTGTGGTCAGGGAACAGATCAACCAAAGTCTTCAATCCCAAACCCAGATCTTTTTTCGGGCCAACAACAACAACAAAACCAACACACGATTAAATAATCTGAAAAACTGTTTTGCATATATCTACATATACAACCCTCAACCCTAGATGCTTGTGTACATGTATGTATACACATATCAAGCAAGTACTAAAATAACTACGTGCATGCGTAAACTCAGAGCTAGGTCTCCACCTTGAGTCGTAGGCACTAACGATAGCTTCTTTGACCGTGCTTAACTAACGTGTGTGTATGAAAAAACATATACATATACATACACACATATACACACAGATTTCTATGTATACATATACACGCATGCAAATGGCCTTTAGGAGCTCACTGCAGAGATCACCACGCTCTCGCAGGGCCTCACAGTCTC